TTGGCTTACTTCAGTTATCCAGAATAGGGTGTGGGTGTAGGTGTGGGGTGTGGGTGGGTGGTAGAGCCCATCAGTTCCAAGAATTTGAGGACCCGTAACCAGATCCGTACCCATACCCGCACCCGCACCCGATCATTGATATACTTTAAGGCTTGAATCTGAATCTCAAGTGCACTGTTATAAGTCTTAATGACATAATCTAACCGAATTTAATAGTCATTCAGAAAATTCGACAGATTTCTTTTTTTCCGACGAGTAGCGCACCCTACATTATTAAACTATCAGCGTGATGTATCTTCGCTATTGGTTTCAGCCAATTACTTCTTGTTGATCAATCATGGTATGAATAAAGCATTTTATTGTTTTAATTTCTTTTGTTAAAAACTATACCAGCATCAAAAAGATTTTGTTTATTGTGAATTGAATATACATCAAAAAAAATTTTAGAAAAATGAATATATTGGAAAAGAAAAAAAATGCCAACTTGATTAAGAATAATGATAAATCATTTTCATTTTACAAACCAAAAAAATCTTCTAAATCATCTTTAATGTGGGATTATTTCAATATTGTTGTTGTAAATAATGTTAAACAAGATATGGTTTGTTGTGAGAAATGTAAACAATTGTTTATGTATGGACCAAAAAGATGGTACAGCAACTTTACTTAAACACAATCGTTCCTGTCAAAACGCTACTGTGAATTCAAGCATGGATTTAACTAATCAATCACAAGTTACTGAATATTATTCTTCATCTAAACTACATCATATACCTAAAAAGCTCAAGGAGAAAGTTAAAATCTCATGTACAGAGTTTATTGCATTAGATTCACGTGCATTTGAATTAGTTTCTGGTGATGGTTTTGTTAAACTAGCTCAATCTATTTTTGATGCTGGTAAATATTTTAAAGCTTCATCAACTGTCGACGTCAAACAACTTATACCATCACCAGTTACGGGAAACACAATTTTTATTTACACAATTCTATATTATAGCATATGTATATTTTGTGTATTAGATTAGTCGTAATATTGACAATTTATATGGCATTAAAAAGAACGAATTAAGAAATATATGTACGAACTTAAAAAGCTATTGTATTATTTGCGATTTTTGGACTGAGCGGTACTCAGGTAAACTATCACTTTGAATATTCAACAGGATGAAATGAATATCCGAAGTTAAATCATTTTAGATTATGCAGAAAATATAAGAGATTGAGATGACTATCTGTTCTATACTAATTTGTATTAAAGACAAAAAAAAAGATCATTTAAAATAATTTTTTTTCTTGGATTAATAAAATTTATAAATAAAATTAATTTCTTATTCTCAATCGAGTATTCTCTGATGTATTGAAACTTGTTACAGTAATGAACTTCACATATTTCATCGATACACTTTAAACTCTAATGGTGATAATTACAGTATAGGATTAAACCAAATATTTTACGTTTTCTTTAACTTAAGCATTTTGTTTTATTCAAACTAACTTTTATGCCTTTTATTTTCCTCTAGGACTTTCGTATTGCGGTTTAGCATTACGCTTTGTAACAGTAGATTTTAAATTGAATAATTTTATTCTTGGTTGGATATTGTATGATGTGGAATCACAGTCAGTTGATAATATACGTATGTTTATTGATGCTCAATTATTATCGTATGGTTTATCTTTAAACAATAAAATTTTTGTTGTATCAGATAGTGACAATAAGATGCGGGCAGCATTTAAGGAAAAATGCATCCGAATAGGTTGCTCAATACATTATCTTAACAAACAGTTGGAACATTCATTCACATCAAATGAAATTGATAGAAAACCTGTTAGGTGTGAGAAAGTTCAAAATCTATTTGAAAATGTAAAAAAAATTGGATATTATGCGATACATACAGCCGATACGTACTAGCACTTGATCTATATACCGGCAAAAAGGACAACGTGGTCCAAAAGAATCTTGCTTTAAATGTTGTTCTTAATTTAGTCGATCAACTGCCAAAAAATGTTCAACAAGGTCGCAACGTTACATTTGATCGTTATTTTACGGATATTAAATTATGCGACGCTTTATTAGATAGAGAAATGACATCTATTGGAGTCGTCGAACACAGACGTCTCTTTTAACCGAATGAATTAAAAGTCTGTCGTAAAAAACTATTTTCATCATGGTTTTATTTTTTTGGACCACACATGCTCTTATCCTATCAGGCGAAAGAGGAAAAAAAACCGATTATTATTTTATCTGCAGCGGATAGTCATCCTGAAACATACGATGATGAGAAAGAATTACCATGTGTGATTCACGATTACAATCAGACAAAATGTGTGGTGTTGTTGTTGTGGACCAATGCATTGGAAGTTACACCGTGCGGCGAATTAGTCGAAGATGGCCAATGATAGTTTTTATAATTTGATTGATATTGCCGCAATCAATAGTATGACAATTTGGTTATGTGAAAATCCTCAATGGAATATGAATAGGACAAATACTCGTCGTAGATTCTTGTCACAATTGAGTATGGTGTTGACCGAATCGCAAAATCTACGTCGCAGTCAAGATACTGGTCTCATGCCAAAAGTTAAGCTTGCTTTAATGTCTCTCGGTTATCATCTTCACTCGGAAACCATCGAGAATCTCAGTGAAAACAACAATTCAAACCAAGTGAAAAAACGATGTTATTTATGTCCAACGAAACCTGGACGAAAAGTTTGACAAGTTTGTCATACATGTAAACAGAATGTCTGTTTATCTCATTCTAAAACCATCACAGTGATAATTGGCCATAAATGCGAAGAAACAAATTAGGAAAGATTCTATGGTGATCAAAGAAAATCAGACAAGAACAACATATTTATTGTGATAAAGAAACTACCGTTTTTTAGCTTTTTAACTATTAAAAGAAAAAAAGATAAAATAAAGATGACTAAACAGAAAAATATCTTTTATTATCTACAGAAAATCAGCATACATGTATATGAATAAATTAGCACTTTCTGACAGATTCAAACTAAAGTCATTGAATCTTATTTCTGAGTGACGCTTTAATGTTCTTATGGAAACAACTTTACAGTCTTTATACGACCTACACAGATACTGATACATGGACCTTTATAATAAGAGAGTATTGAGAGGCCTATAGTTGGTGAAAGAATACGGTAAACAAAACAAAAGTATCGAGTTTTTGTTATTTTCTATGGTGGGTCCAGCCGGACCCCAGAACATCTATGAAGTTCAAAAATGAGGACATCGATGGAGGGTTAATGGTATGGAGGGTATGAGCTGATACCATTTCGGCATGGTTCAACAGTCTGAGAATGTCACATGTTCAATAGATACAGCTTTTCACGTACATCGGATGGGCCTATTTCAAATCTTTTACGTAATAATATTGCTGAGAGAGCATACTTAGGTATTTAAACCGTTTACAAATGTCACATTGGAGCACACAATGCAAGCAGAAGGACTCACTGTGTGGGCTGGCATCTAGTCCCAAGGAGTAATTGGTCTCTATTTCTTTGATAACACGGTGACTGCTCAAAGTTATCTTGCAATGCTGAACAATTACTTTTATCCATTTTATTCTGATTTACCAGATAACGAAGCAATACTTTTTATGCAAGATGGTGCACTAGCGCATTCTGCTTCTGATATTCGAGATTGGCTTGACGAAAATTTTTCTGCAAGATGGATTGGTCGTCGAGGTGCAATTGACTGGCCTGCTAGGTCTCCTGATATCAGTCTAGCTGATTTCTTCTTGTGGGGGTATTTGAAAGATATCGTGTACAAAAGCAATCCTCGAAACTTATCTAGTCTGAAACAATCAATTATCTCAGCCTTTTCAGCATTAGATTCTGATCTGTGCAAGAGAGCTTGTGAATCAGTGTCGGAAAGACTTCAGAAATGCATTGATGTTAATGGACATCAATTCGAACATTTACATTAGGTTGCTTTATAGTGTCAGTTTGTGCTCACTATTATCCTTATAATAAACTTTTTTTTGATTTTCTCATGTTACTACCAGTGAAAAGAACCTTACAAATGTGTTTAGTTTATCCTATGTCATTTTGTAGAGCTCGTAATCAGTGAAAAATCCTTATTGATGTCCATCTCACTACATAGGAACAATGATTTGTCGATGTTTCTCCTATGAAAAAAAAAACTTTAAGTAAGCCTCTATTACTGGTAAAAGTTTCAACTCTTTGGTGTCGACATCTAAAGGAAAATATTTAAATTTCTTATCGAGGTGTTATTTATGGGACACCCTGTATACAGTTACGAAAGAGAAATAAATAAAGTGAGAATTAAGATGAAAAATAAACAAACCTTAACAACTTCAAATTTGTATCTATTTGCTCATTTTCTTAAGTTGTTGCGTTATGTTCTAGTTACTTTCGTTTTTTGCCGATGTTGAATGATATTCAGCTGTTCTTTGAATTTCTTTATTTATTAATATTGAATTTTGTATCGGTTGTTGTTGTTCATCTTCTTCTGAAACAGCTTCAAGTCCATCTAATACATTTGTTTGTTCATGAACCGATAGTACAACATTCGAATTCGGTTCATACAATCCCAGTATATCATTGACAGTTGTCCGTTCATCTAAACCATAAACTGATTCAACTGTATAATTATTATTTAATAATTCATCTTGTTGTATTTCTTCTTTCATTGGTTCATCATCTAAAATATAAACGTTATTTTTTCCAATGGTAGTTTAGATGATTCAAATGGTTTCGTTATTTGACTTAGCTTTGTAATGGGTGGTTTGCGAATATTAAATAATTTGCCATGTTTCCATAAAACTTGTTCTAATTGTTTTCGTTGTTCATTGTCTTCGATGCATGGAGTTAAATTTTCAATTTGTTCTCGCATTTCTGATGGATAACATTTTTGGCATAAATGTTGTTCGAAGTCATTCTGTGATAAAAACTGTTCTTGACACACATAACATTGATGTTCTTGATCAGTTTCGTTGTCCAATTGATAGGCAAAGTTCGTAGATTGAACTTTCCTCTTATTATTCATAGAAGGGACGCACAAATGACTCACAAAACAGTTGTTTCTTCTGTAAAAATTCGATGTTGTTGGTGTTGATTGGTCAGTTTTAGTCTTTTTTAATGCTGGTAAAATAAGATAGTTATTAGCTTTGGATTGATATGTCATATCTTCTAATGCTGTATTTTTCGATGAAATCTTTTGACGATCATTTGCGTTCATAATTATAACTTCACTTTCATTGTCTTCTAAATTAATTAATGCGCTTGTAAGCAAGGCTTTTTCGAATATAAGTATGCTGCTGGTTAAAATAAAGCCTCGGATATATTCATTGTTGATGATAATACCTAGATGTGGGTGTGAGTGTGGATAGGTGTGGGATGTGAGGTGGGTGAGGGTGTTGATGCGGATCGGTGCGTGCGAAGTGTGATATAAGAGAAGATTAACACCCAAACCGATACCCAGCACGCCCACAGTTACATTCCACACCGGCACCGCCCTGTCAGTGTGACTACAGCAGTGAAGTAGTATGCTGTGTGGCTAACATTTTTTGTCAAGAACATGACCATGACAGAAACGCTTTTTCAACCTTATACCCGACATAGATAAATTCTGGTAAAAAAGAGTAAGACTTCACCATTAATATAGAAATTTTAGCATCATATATGAATAACATCGAATAAAATTTTATGTGATCGCGGTGTAAAAATGTCGAAAAACAGAAATCAAAATATTAGTTAAGAGTAATCGTCATGAAATTACTTTTTTTTTTGCATTAAACAATATTATCCTATGACCATTTCGGTGCTAAAGGCTCACTTGAATCTTCACGTGGTTCACTGAGAATTAATAGAAATATACTAGAAAAACAATGGAAAAAAAAGCACAAGAACATAGAAGAAAAGATAAATATGGAAACTTCGGATTTAAATCCGAGGATTATATGTACTTCAAAAAGTGAATGAAATAGATGAGTCATCCTAGAATGAGTGGACATAAAAATGATCCTGGCAAACCTTCTCTAGAAACACTTGATTTCTATTGGTTCCTGCTCAATCAATCGTATTTCGAGGCAGTGGAGTACAGGTTCGAGTTCTCCTACCTAGAAAACTTCCAAGTATCATCTCTGTGATCGGAAGATAGAGCTCTATTTGTGGATCAATTAGAGAATGGACAAAAGCAGAAACAATTTCTGTTTAATTATCTTTGCAATAGGTGAGTTAGCCTTTTTGTTTCTTTATGTTTTATGTACTATTTTGTAGCTCGTGAAATCTCTATCGAATGGTACATAATAGTTGAGGTTTTATCTGACTATGATAGGGCAAGTTGTTTACGAAAGCGGGAATAGGTCGTTTTTTCCACACGAAGGCATAGGAAAAAATGAGTATTCTTGCAATAACTCAGGAACGACTCGGCCAATCATTCTCATCTTCGAACTCGCCCGAGATATTGTTGAGACTAAACTGTGTAGAAAATTTCATCGCGATCGGACTCTCTTTTGAAAAGTTATCATGTAAACGGACGGACAGACATACTGACCGATTCTAGTGTGTTTTCATTTTTTGAGTACACAAAATGATGAAAAATGGAAATTGAAAAATATAATATCAAGAATAAGATCACCATTGCAACAGCATTCATATACCTAAATTAAAACAAAACTATACCAGCAAGTCAGCTTTACCGCCGTTTCACCTCAACGACCCACTCAGCACCATATGAAGTTATAGGAATACACTCATTTACTGTGCACTATAAATTAATTTCAGGTATTGGTTTTCTTCAATCAACTATTGCTGAACACCGTTGATCTCTGTATACAACGGAACTTTAGCTAGAGAACCAATCTTGGGTTTACGTCCATTCATACAAAATAATTTGAATTAGTCATCATTTGTTTAGACTCTATAGCTATTGATCAGCCAAGCTGTTCTTTATTTTGTATATAATTTATCTTGTTGTTATGATCAAGTAAATTATTCATTCATTCTTTTTTTTGTTAAAAGTTCTTTATTGCTTGTCTTCCTATTATCTTAATTCTTCATTCGATTATGGTTTATTAGATAAAACATATTGAGTAGTTTTGCATGTTCCAGGTGTCTACTAATGGATTTATAGCATGGTATGAATCTAGACAAAGAAGGTCTTCAG